TGAACATACTACATTTTATAAGAAGAAAGCAACCTCAAATAATCGGTCCCTGATGGTTTAATCTGAGGTGCAACAGAAACAGCAAACAATTTTTTTCGAATATGCAGCACCTTAGTAAAAAGGCAATATATCATGCTACTTAACTCTAATTTAGACAAACTCAAAACCTACATAATCTACACATAAAAATCTACGATTGTTATGAAGAGAACTTTTTCATATGAACACTTTCGTGTCATCAAAACCGAGCACACATTCAACACTTAAACACAGCCTTGGTTTCACAAAAACTGGGTGTACATCCCTGTTAGAAAAATCATATAAAATTCAAATCTACTCATTTTTCAGAAATTCAAACTCTCACAAACAGATTAAAACATATACTACATTTGTCATGAAGAATATATTTTCATCCAAGAAAGTTAAGATCATCAAAAACAGCAATCAATTGAGATTAAAGTTTCTGTCCGAGTTTATCAAAACTGCATACATGTCTGACTTTGAAAATTCATATAAAATCCATTTCAACTCCGAATTTTGAAATTCCAAAACTCACAGAACCCTAACTCAAAATACTACAATTCTCATGATGATCACTTTTTCATTTAAACACATTAAGACATTATAAACGGGTTAAACAAAAAGTGAGCACATGCTGCCGGGTCTTAATAAAAACTGTTCGCTCAACGATTTTGTAAAAATCATAACTTATTCGTTTCAAATCGAAATCAACTGATTCCAAAGCTCACTTAAAGACAGCAGAATAAGCTACATATCATGTGAAGACCAAATGTTCATAAAACGATTATTTCATGGTCATTTCAGCAGTATATCAGAACAGCAGAAAACTCCCATAATTCACGAATTTCATTTTTATAATCCCTCATCCGAAATGACTTTACGGAAACACATCAGATCATCAAATAACTATCATACGTTGCATATAACAAAAGAAACGATGCTACTAGAATATTCGATCAACCACTTCAACTCAACGCCAAACGAAATCACCATCAATCGCACAAAATCACATAATAACACATACGTATACGCATAAAATAGTAGGGAATCAAGCCATCGATACCATTCTCGGGAAGGACACTTGAAAGCGAGTTGAAAGAGGGGCTGTCCGAAGTCGGGAGAAGACCGGGACGGGGCTGCTGGTGCGCGGCTGTCTCCGACGGGACTCAACGGGACACGACGGCCAGAAACTCACGAGTAGCAGGGCTCGGACAGTAGGCTGACTCGCGAACAGCGGTGGAGATGCTCGCAACTAGAATAGGGCTCGCGAGCAAGGGAAGGCTCGTCGATGGGACACAAGTTTTAGGGACAGCGAATAAGGTCTCATTGTTACCTCACGAACAGCAACAACACGACATATACGAGCAATTATCACGTATTTCGAAAATAATCGAGACGAGGTTGAGCGCAAATACCGTTCCTGGGAAACGATCGAAAACAAACGAAACGATAGGGTCGAACGGCTCACGGTTGCTGTCCGGAAAATGAACGGGTTCGAGTCACAACTGCAACGTCCGGCGACGCACGGCAGACACCAGTCGACCATCCTTGACTCGTGGTTGGCTCGAACAAAGGCTGGCCATGACGAGTACCTGGGACCTCCCACTCACCGTTCGTCGGGCCTGGAAAACTGACGACGGCTGCTCGGAAGTTGGGCCAATCGCGAGCGGATGGTGGTGCGACTCGCCAGGAGTTGCAGGTCACGGTGGTGCTGCTCGACCAAGGCTCATGAGAGGCCGATATCGCTCGTCGGGGAGGAAGGACAACCACGGCTGCGCGTGAAGAGAAGGGCTGCTGCTCCACGGCTGAGATTCTCGCTATCTGGTTGCTCGATTTGTCAGGTGGTCGAAGGTCTGTGAGGACGGCGGTAATGGCGGCGTGGCGCTCGGAACTCGTCGGCTTCGTTTGACACTCCGACGGAACACGACGGGACTCGACGGTCACGCTCGACACTCCAACGGAACACGACGGGTCCCGACGGAGGGTGATGATGGTGACCGGATTTCTGCTGGAGGTTGGTAGGATGGCGGAGCTGCGATTATGGCGAAGGAGATGATGATGAGGGCGATGGCAGATGATGATCGTTGATGGCGATGACCGCCGGTGGCCTGCGAGCCCGCGAGGAAGACGATCGGCGATGATGGCAGCATGGTGTTCGGCGACGATGATGAATGAAGACGATGGTCGGTGGTCTGCAAGTTTTGACGATGGCTGCGGGAATTTGATTTTTTTTTGAAGAAGGAGAAGACGACGGTGCTATATATATATATATATACACTTTGTCTAGGTCAAAATATGTTGTTCTCCAAGACATCAGGTACAAACCGGACCGGGTCGAAAATTCGGTTCTAACGCGGGCTTCAAGAAATTGGACCGATTCTCGGGCTCGGTTAAAATCGCACGACTATTGAAATATACACGCACCAGTATATATATATATAACACATTTTATTATTTATTAATAATATAACAATTAGACAATTAATATTAATAATAGTAATATTACTAATAACAACAAATACTAGCAATTTGGCATTTAGGCAATAACAATAATAATAATAATAATAATAATAGTAATAATATAATAAGGGAGATAATAATTAATAATCCCAAAAATTCCATATTCAAACATATTATAATCGGTTCACGCGATTAAACTGAAATCGTCAAACGACGAATGTATTTCAATAAAAACAAATTCGAGTATCCCAACCTTTTATTTAAGCCGACATCGCGACTAATAAAATAAATACAATCTCATAAATAATATTCGATAAATAAAATATTCCAAGAAATTCTATAAATCGAACGGGGCGTTACAACTAGAGTCATGCACCTCCGGTGGGGTGCTCTGAGGAACCGCGGTAGCAAGAGCAAGGATGTGATTTGGCTCTTGATATTGACTTGAGGATGCAATAGGAGAAGAGGTTTGCACTGGGGTAATTGATGAATCTGATTGGTGCTGAGAACTCGAGAAACTAGGATTAGCCCACTGCAGGAAATCTGGTGCTCTCATCCAATCGCTATATTGTTCCACTCTTACTGATTTATTGGCAATGTCATCAATCTTCTTTTTACAACTTCTGTTTAAGTGGCCAATCAAACCGCAATAATTGCACATGTTCACCAGTTTTTTATACTATGTTGAGAATGGGTTTTAATGCTATATTTGTCAGATGGATCATGGCATGTATTCAATTTCCCTCTTTTTCCTTTAATCTGAATGGCAAACCTTGTGGCTTTATCACCGGCTCTAGAGGAATAAGGCAGGGGGATCCTTTATCCCCCTACCTTTTCATCATTATCTCTGAATTTTTGTCTGCTAAAATTCATAATGCTGCAGAATCTGGGAGTTACAAAGGGATCAGGCTGTCCAGAAATGGCCCCACATTAACCCACCTACTTTTTGCAGATGACACTTTGCTTTTTTGCAAAGCTGAAGAACAACAAGCAGCAAAAATCCTTCAAATTCTTCAAGCATACCACTGCTTCACAAGACAGCAGGTGAATATGGTCAAATCTTCAATATTCTTTAGTAGAAATGCCCCCACTAGCCTCAAATCCAGATGCTGCTCCATTCTCTCGGGCATTCAAACTCATACCTCTACAAGATATCTGGGTCTTCCAATGGGAATTGAAAGATCCAAAAGAGAAGCTTTTGACTATATCCTCTCAGTGGTGAAGAAAAGAGTATGCAACTGGAAGAACAAATGGCTCTCTACTGCAGGTAAGGAGATTCTTATCAAAGCGGTTCTTAATGCCCTGCCTGTTTTTGCTATGTCCTGCTTTGTCCTTCCTGTTACTCAGTGTTCTAAAAGTCGCTAGGCGCCCGCTAGGCGCTCGACCAGCGCCTAGCGCCTAGAGCGCTTAGGCGGGGCCTAGAAATCAATATTAAATACCTTATTTTTTATTTATTTAACTACTAACAAAATAAAAGTATCTCAACTTATAATAAATCGACACACCTAAGTCCAAATAATAATATTAATATATTTTAAAGAAAACATGAGAACAAAATAATGTAATTAGTATTTAAAAAAAACTGAAAAATTGCCGCCGAGCCCGCCTAGGAGCGCCTAGGTCCGCCTACGCCCGCCTAGGCGCCGCCTAACCGCCTGGCCGCTGAGCCCGCCTAGGCCAACTAGGAGCGCCTAGGCCCGCCTAGGCACCGCCTAGCCGCCTGGCCGATTTGTGCAAATTGGAGGCGCCCGGGCACCGCCTAGCGCCTAGGCGCCGCCTAGACGGCTGCCTAGGCCGACTTTTAAAAAAATGTTGTTACTTTGTGCAAGGAGATTTCAAGTGTTTGTAGGAGTTTCTGGTGGAGTAAAGGCTCTGACTTACCTAAGAGATTCCCTTGGCTGGCATGGAGCAAGTTAACCATGGCAAAAAAATATGGAGGACTTGGGTTTCAGGACATACAACTCTTCAACGCAGCCCTCATAGCAAAGCGAATCTGGAGACTTCTTACAGTGCTAGACTCATTGGCGAGTAGAGTTCTCAAATCTAAGTACTATCCTAACTTATCACTTTTTGAGGCTCAGATCCCTCAGAGCTCATCTTGGCTATGGAGGAGCTGGCATGAAGTCCTGCAGGTCTGTGCCAAATGGATGCACATTGAAATCAGGAATGACACCACAACTAAAATATGGGACCAACATTGGTTGTCTAACCTCACAGGCAAGGCAGTTGAGCTACTCCCTGGAATTGACAGAAATTGTGTATGGGTTAAAGACCTCATGACTGAGGATGGTTGGAACTGGGATGAAAAGAAGCTGAGAAGAACTTTTCCACCTCACATTTGTGCCCTTGTCCTCACTATTAAAACTCTTAACCCCAATCTTGCAGACATATGGAGATGGAAGATTCACAGCAAAGGGCTCTTCACTGTGCAGTCTACCTATGCTCAGCTTCTAACAGAGAAATTTCTTAAGTTGAGTCAGCCTCAAGGAAGCATGGACCTAGCTAGGGATATTAAAGTCAGAAACAGGAGCTGGAAATTGCAAGTTTTGGGTAAAATCAGGCACTTTATTTGGAAATGTTGCAACGGCACCTTACCTGTCAATCATAACTTACTGGCTAGAGGAATTGAAGTGGATAATGTCTGTGTTGTCTGTGGGGAGGACTTAGAAACAGCAGAGCATCTGTTCTTCCATTGTGCTGTTGCCAAGTTAGTCTGGAAACTCTCCCAGTGCAGTGGGATGGACCTCAAAAGGGAGCTACTTTCAAAGACTGGTGGTGGTCTATTTGCCATCTAAACAAATCAAAGACATCGGAGGCTAGAATCCAGCTTTCTACATATATCCTCTGGTGGCTCAGGAAAACCCGCAACCTGTGGGTATTTGAGAGGGTGAAAAGGTCGGCTCATCTTATAGTCCAAGCAGCTCATCGTGATTGGCTCTCTTTTAGGACTAGCAGGATGGCCAGGCCTTGATTTTTTTTTATGGCTTTTTTCTCAGTTTAGTTTCTGTTTTTGGTTTCCTTGTTTGTTGTTGTCTTTTCCTTTCCTTGGAGGTTTTCTTTGGAGTTAAGGTCCCAGTCATGTGACTGCCTTACTCCATCGTTGGATCAGTTGGGCTCTAGGACACCGTGTTGTATGCTCCTCTCATTTCTCAGCTTTTCTTTGAGTTTGGTGTGTTTTTCGTAGTTTGGTGTGTTTTTGTTGTTCTTGGTTCTTGTTGTTTCGAACTCATTGTAATTATTTCGGTCCATTTATGAGATTTCTATCGTTTGAGAAAAAAAAAATGACTTTAACAACCTCATCTCCCAATCGAATAGAAGCACGCCTGGGAAGGGGTTCTGCCAAATTGATAAATATTAGGAGTCCAAGGATTTTGCCTCCATGGCTGCCTGCACCAGCCACTACCACATTTTTAAGCTCATGAAAAACCTTACCAATCTTAAGCTCCACATCTATGCTAAGCCAGTTTAAGGGGACATTGAACACTTGCACCCAGATTGGTAGCTCTTGAAACACTGGGTGATTTGCAGATAAACGCTCTTTCCATTCTGTGAGAAGAAGGAATTGATTATCTATGGTCCAGTTCGTACCTCGAGCTACTCTATCCATATCTTCCTTGCTTTGGAAAATAAACTGAAAGAAGTTTGTAGTTCTTTAACCTACATTGGCTGTTTAATCTTCCATATATTGCCCATGGTGCGTTTCACTCCCATCCAGCTCACCGGAAGATCTCCGATAATTTTGTCGAATAAGCTTTTTGACATTCTTCTGCACTATATCGAATGTCTGTTGTGGCTATGTCTATGATAACATTCTCCGTTTCTGATAGGGTGAATACTTCTAATCGATTTGCAAGGTCATCGTCGTGGCATATGAAGGATTGGTTGGCCATCTCAAAAAACTCTAATCCCCAAAATAGGGGAAAACTTCTCGACTATGATGGATTCCGAGAAAGGAAAATTGCAGAAAGGGGAAGATGAGATACTCCAAATAAAAGTTGTACCGAAGAAGAAGAGAAACTGACTGGAATCCTCATTGAAAACGCTCTCCGATGAGAGAATTGAAATATTTACTATCATTTTGAATAATTATTTTTCTTGGTAATTTATTATTTGAAGTATATTTTATTTATTAGTATTTATTATAATTTCACAATAAGAATAATGTTTATTGATTTTGCATTTTTATTATATAGATACTTATTTTTCAAAACACTTGTGTAATATACATGTATCGTACTAGTATCTTTCATACGGTATAATTAGACGTGGCCAAAATATGGGTCGAGCCAGAACCCAGCCCGGCTCGGCCCGCCGGATCGAGGGTCTCAATTTAATGGTCCG